AAATAAAAAATAAATAAAAAAGGAAATAGGAATAAATTTAGGATAGTTAGGAGGTAGGCCCAAGCAGAAAGTTCACAGACAGGCTTAATATAGGGTCAGAGACAGAGTCGCCACGAAACTATAACAAAGCACAGGCTTTTTCCACACCCTAAGAGGAGCCCAGGCAACGTGTTCATGTGACCATGAGATTTTTTGTAAAATTTTCCCACAAATGATTAAGACTCTTGTCTCTTTCTACTCACATGTTGCCTTCATCACACTTCTGTCAAATCAAATGATATTGCGATGCCCATGGGTATTCTGAAGAAGTTGAGATACGGAGACATTTCATTTTGGTTTATTGGGATATGTTTATGTGATTCACAGACAACTTCTGTATATAGTTAAAATATTTCTGGCCCTTCCCATCTAAGAACAGCTTCCAGAAATATCTCTACCTCCCATGCCTAACTCTCAATGCCTACTCATGCAATATGCAACCCGAAGGTGCAGGACCAAGGCTCATATTTGAATATGTATGCATCCATTGCAGCTGGCACTAGAAACATGTGAGGTAGAGAGAAAATAAGGCTTGAAATGTACAGAATCAGATGTTATTATAGAGGTGCATCAGGAAGTTAGAAAAAATACTAAGTTGCTTTCCTGGATTTTGTGATATTTGTACTATTTGTCACCTTTTTAAAATCTGAAATTTGTTACAATTTATTGTCATATGAAAACAAATATAAGACTGTACTTTCAGGATCATTTCTTTAGTTCATCACAACAAATATTTACACTTGTACCTAATTTTGTCTTCTTTTTCTTAAAGAGATCCCTTAAAATCTAATTAACTTTGGCCTCATATAACCTGTATCTACTGTTCATTAGGCATCAAATTTAGCTCTGAGTTTCCTAGTAACCAGAGTGACAGGAAAACACAGAATGTTACATACTTCTTTTTATGGCAAAGGAGGAAATAAACCATCAAATAGTTATAAGAAACGTAATAAAATATAATGTACTATTTCCATGATGAGATGACACCTAACCCATCTGAAACACTTACTGGGTCAGGCATTGTTGTAAGCACAGCATATACATTATTCAGTATTTCCAACCCCAATGCCTGTTTTCTTAACCACTGGGTTTTATTTTTCTCCTCAAGGTGAAGAGAGAAAGAAGGTGGTATAACACCATAGTCTTCTTCCGTTCTAAATCATTTTAAAGCTGATCTTGAGTACATAAAGAGAGTTCTTATTGCTCAGAAGCCCAAGAAATAAACACTACCTCTGACGGTGGTCCAAATATTAATAAATCAGCACCCACAAAAAGTTACTGACTTCACTGAGCAACTGTCGTATTAGTATACAAAACATTTAAATTTAAATTAAATAAAATCTGATAAACATTATAATCTAGTTTCCTTTTATCTTTTTTTTCTTTTTCTTTTTCTTTCTTTCTTTTTTTTTTTTTTTTTTTTTTTTTTGAGAGGCAGTTTTGCTCTTGTTCCCCAGGCTGGAGTGCAGTGGTGCCACCTCAGCTCACTGCAAACTCTGCCTCCCGGGTTCAAGTGATTCTCCTGCCTCAGCCTCCTGAGCAGCTGGAAATACAGGTGCCCACCACCATGCCCGGCTAAATTTTTGTATTTGTAGTAGAGATGGAGTTTCTCCATGTTGGCTAGGCTGGTCTCGAACTCCTGACCTCAGGTGATCCACCTGCCTCAGCCTCCCAAAGTGCTGGGATTGTAGGCATGAGCCACTATGCCCAGTCTAGTTAACTTTTTTCTATACTCTATGGAGAAGCTCAGTTTTTCTTTTGGAGGCTTCTTGTTTGCTGTCTTTTTTTCATGAACAAGTAAGCACAATGATGAGAAATACTCCTCAGAAATATTTAGGAAATGTGACAGTGAGCGTAATAAAACAACTATTGAGAAAGCTCTAATGATAATAATACATAATAGGTAATATTTATCTATCTATTTATAACATTTAGTTGAAGTATATATTAAGAAATGTAAATGAGTTATCTCATTAAATTCTTGACAAACCCAAGAAGAGAATGTTATCTCTTATTTTACAAATGAGGAAACTGAGGCTAAAGAGATTAGGTTGTTTGACCAATATTCTAAAACAAGTAAGTTGTAGGAGTCAGAATTTGAACCCATTACTGAGTTCTAACTCAGAAAATTTGCTATCCTAATATTCTGTGCAGATAGGGTGGGCACCCAAGTCAGGGCTTTGCCTGAAGAGGAAGCTCAGGAATCGTTTGGGGAATAAAACATTATTAACCCTTTAATTTGTGAGGGATTAAACTGCCCCTCCTCTTCTCTTATGATAGAAAGGTCTCCCACATTTACAGTTTGAGAACATGCTATAGGAATGAATGGTTTCAGAAAGAATTCAAGGCTGTGGATGCTTAGACACTATTTGGCACCAGTAGGACCCCTAAGACACTACTTTGTCTCAGGTGCTTCATTCAGTAATCCTGCAGTGTTGGAGTGCTCTGCTAATAATAATCCGCAGAACTTAAACTTCAGAGTTGAACTTAGAAGAGGACCTATTTGCTCTTAGAACTATGGCTGCATTTATGGTTCTTAAATCCTTAGTGAATCATTACAGGGTGTAGTGTGGAACCATAAAAGTACCTTCGTGTATTAATCAGATAGTCACTGATAGTCCACTACTAGAAACCAGGCATTTCCCTTTTTTTTTTTTGAAACTTCTTTTGGTTTTGTTTTTTTTCTCCCTAATGAAAAAAAATTTTGATAATTTTCCCAATCCAATTCAACACTACTAAGAATTCACTCATTCAATAGTTTGGCTAGATTTTAGAAACATGAATTATTTCATGACAGCTAACCACCCTTGTGGCCAAGAGAACAAGGCTAAATAGAGAAAGTGATCAAAAGTGAGTTTAGGGGCAACTCCCAATAACCCATATGGGTAAAGCCAAAATCAAAAGTTACCCTCTACATGAATGCGCACAGGCATAAGCTAGGTTATCCAGCATCAGAACTCCTATTTCTCCTCCAAGAACACACCGTAGGTCACTGTCCCATAAGTGCCCTACCACTTACAAATTCACCTCAGTGTGCACACGGTATGATAAATTCTACTCAGTTTTTACAAAATTAAACAAAGGCAAGCAGGTACTTGAAGAAGATATAACTTTTCACATCTTGGATACACACAGAGTTAAAAGATGGTCCTTAGCTTCATTTAAAGTCAAATATTCTAGCACATTTTTATTATTTGTGGCACTAAATTTGTGGAGCAGGGAGGCACTAAGAAATGTAATGTTATTTGGCCCAAAAGGAATGACACAGCACTTTTCTGTCCTTGGAAGAATAGCACCATGGGCAACCACTGGATTAACTTATATACAAAATTATACCAAGTAGGAGCCAGCTTTTGCCATTAAATTCAGTCATTCTTCGTTTTTAAATCCCAACATTGAAATAAGTAACTATCACAACAAATGTTTTCTCTTGTGATGCCATAAGAGAACAGGAGAATCCAAGTTAAGCAAAGATAGCGAATCTTGTTCCTGTCAATTAAAAGTATAATTGGCCCATTTATTTGAAAGTGAAATCTTTATTATGGAAAGACAGATTTCAGGAAAAAAATCCGTAACATAATCCCTTCAGTGAATTTCTCAAGTCCTATTTTCATTAGGTTGTATTATCATGATAGCTGAGAGTTCATTTGCCATTGTACCTCACTCATCTAAAATTCTGAATCCCCAGTGACTGAACCATATTTGACTTCAAAAAGAACACTATGTCCTGCTAGCCTTATGTAATACAGATCAAATCAAGTCACTGAGTTGTCATCCAGGGATATAACATTCTAGTTAATTTTAATTACATATAAAATGTTTATTAATTAAATATATATATTAGCCTGTCTTTTGATGAAGGCAACTGACTTACAATAGCATATAGTTAATATTCACCATTGTTCCCAAAATATCTTTGTTATAAAATGAACTTTCTATACCTTGAAACCCAAATTCGTCAAGAAAAGCATCTTCTAAATTTTACTGCTGTAAGCTCATTTTCCTGGACTGTTATTATACATAATAAGAGACTTGACTTGACAGCTCCTATAATAACACATTACAAGCTTTAAATCCGATGCATGTTTTTTACCTTAAACTCTTGTGATGGCAAAACCATTTTCCTCAAAGCTGATTGGTTAGGCAGGTCTACAACAGTGCTTAAATGGAACCTTGCTGTGCCAAGCTTTCTTACAAGGAGGAATCTTTTTATTTTGAGCCTTTTTGGTACTGAACATGAAACCTGACTGAAGAATTTTTGTTTTATCATTAAGAAATAAATGTGTATTGCTTCTTGAGATCTCCCTGGTTTCAGCAATTTGTAGTTATTTTCACTATAGACCATTAAGAATACATTTCAAAGACAAGTTAATAAAGTTCAAGTAAAAATTATTTTTTATACATTGCAGCTTCTAATTGGCATTGGGTGAGTATTAGAGATTATCAACATAAATTACATATAGTGCCAAATGATGAACTTAATTCATAGATGTTGGCTAATTTTCCTTATTGCATTCCTTATTGTTGGCTGTATAATCATTGTATGCAGACTAATCTTCTGATAAAACTTGAACCTCCTTGGCTTATTTGGTGTATTTGTTTTTCTTATAAGTTTTTTCCAGCCTTCTTAGACCTCCTTTAATACTGTGATTTTGTACATTTCCCTATAGTGAAGTCTAGTTTTGTCAACATTGCCCTAGAAGTATCTCAAAATGCAGTGCCTGTGTCATCTCCTCTCTGATTTAGCTTTCATTCTACTCTTAAAGTGAGAGAAGATTAAACTTGATTTTGTGGCCCTCTAATAAAGGTATGACTGGATAAAATAATTAACATCACATGTGCTGCCTTAGAGCTGAAACTTTGCTACTCATGTCATTTATTTGTTCCACTTCTATATTTTAGTTTCTTCTCATGCTAAATCTGTATTTTTCTTAAAGGCTTATAAAAATTTGGGTGAAGAAATGTTGGTGCTGCGGTGCAGGCATGGAACCTCTTTTTCTAAACTAGATAACTTGGTGAGTACTTTCATTTATTTTTGACAATGCATTCAGGCTTTCAAACTAGACACTGTCAGAAGTACACTTGAGAGGGCCAAACACTATTGAAATCTGTCAGAAGAACCAAATAGCATCTGCTTTCACAGATGGAAGAAGAACAAAGTCATTGTACTTTTGTGGTAATCATTACGAGTGTTACTTTCAACTCAAAAAATAACTATAGACTTTAATCATGAACTTTTAGAGATGGAAGGGATCTCAGTCATCCAACATAATACATTAATTTTACAAAAGATAAAATGAGTTTTATATTTGCAAACATAAAAGCCACACGTATTATCAAAAATCACTGTGACAGCTACTAGAGAGATGAGATGAATGATTAAGAAAGACAGAAATTAACCATCCAAAAGCACCCTTAAATCTTGGTCCTTAATCTTAGAAACAGTTAGCAAAGAAAGCTTTCACCAGTATTTTCTTTATTAGCTTCCACATATTGTTGTAACCTATACTAAACACACTAGTTTCAACTATCATTTTTCGTTCTCTATGATGTTATAACTCTGAAAATTTTTAAATAGTAGGAAAGGTGTTTACTACATTACTGCTTCCTTTGTTTAATTACATTCTACCAATTTTTCTAATATACGAAGATAACTGATTACACCCACAATTTAGGGAAAAGTCCATTATAAAAATGTTAAAGTGTCATTTATGTTGCTCCTACAGGAAGTAAGCAGAAGGGTAGGCATTGGCTCCAATCATACTAGATACATTTTATGTCCAGAAAAGGAAGAAAGAACGAAAGGAATGAGCAACTACTGGGTGTCTACATGTTGGTTACCATGCTAGGAATTGGGCTATATCTGACATACAACGAAAATAAATCATTCTGATTAAAACCTTTTATCTTCCTCTATCGTATATGCAAATAGAAAGTTTTCTTAAGAAATTACTCAAGTAAATTTTTCAGAATAAAACTTGTTCAAAGACATAAATACAAGACAATTTTACAAGGCTTACATAATTAACTAGAGTGGGATAAATGAACCTCATTAAAAACAATCTCCAACTTTCATACATAAGTCTATATGTTTAATCAAAGTATCTAATAGAGAGATTTATTTTTACTTTTCTGCCTATTTCCTACTTTTTCCTATTTTCCTAACCACCTTAGAGCATAAGTTATTTTTTTTTTTTTTTTTGAGACAGAGTCTCGCTCAGTCACCCAGGCTGGAGTGCAATGGTGCAATTTCGGCTCACTGAAACCTCTGCTTCCTGGGTTCAAGCGATTCTCCTGCCTCAGCCTCCCAAGTATCTGTGAGCCACCACACTTGGCTAATTTTTGTATTTTTAGTAGAGACAGGGTTTCATCATGTTGGCCCAGTTGCTCTCGAACTCCTGACCTCAGGTGATCTGCCCCCCTTTTGCCCCCCAAAACGCTGGTATTACAGGTGGAGCCACAGCACCTGGCCACATATGTGATTTTTAAAGGAAGTGATGATGATAATAATAATAGGAACAATAGAGGAAACAAGGAAAAAATAGGATTCTGAATATTCCAGTTTACTTAGTCTCTATATAACAGAGTATTATCTACAGCATCTCAGAAAGTAGCACAAAGTTTTGATTTTGGAGTGTGCCCTCCTTGAAACTGAGATTATTTCATACAGTGAATGTGGCTAGACATCACTATGCCTTTATAAATCAACTAGCAACTAGAATCTCAAACCCATCAATATTCCTTTTTTGGGGATATTCTCCTAATTTCTAATTTTCACATTCTGGTGCTATGAAATCTCTCTCTCTCTCTCTCTCTCTCTCTCTCTCTCACACACACACACACACACACACACACACACACACACACTTTGTATTTCCTTTTAATCTGAATCTTTTGGCAACTTGAAAAGTACCAGGTAATAGCTATCTAATAGTTTCTTGACATAAAATAAAAATGGCAACAAGGGCCCCATCTATTTCTATACTCTCCTTGATAGACAATTAGACTAGTACCTAGATAGGTGCAGAGTGCCCTAAGCATACTTATTTCACAAACCAAAAATAAAAATCTATTTTTATTCTAGGTGCCAAATGGAAAAATGAAGATTCTCCTGGTCTTTCTAGGGCTTCTTGGTAATTCTGTTGCCATGCCAGTAAGTATTTTTTAAATGTTAGCTCTGTCTTTGTGTATTATCATTGTGTAGCTTAGGAACAATTGTTGAGCTTCTTTCAACTGATGTTCTGCATTTGTCACTGACATTCTCTTACTTCCAGATGCATATGCCCCGAATGCCTGGATTTAGCAGTAAAAGTGAGGAGGTATGTAAGTTCAGTCTCAGGGGAGAAGTTATCCACAGTCCTATCCTATACGTTTATTAACAAGAATATTGGACAGTTGTCTGATATATAATATTTCTTATGAAAGGAGTAGAAAGAGGGAGAGTTTAAAGTCTTAAACTCTCAAATTGAGGCAAAGTAGTAATTTACCCAGCCATCAGCCTACCTATGTGCTTCAACGTTTCTTTTCAAGGTAAATCTGGATTTGTGTCAAAATCTAGTTGATATTACCTTATTTGCTAAGTTTGCTAGCTAGCAAAAGTGACCAACTTGTACCAAGGGTTATTAGAAGGTAGATGCTTAAAAATATAAATATCTTTTACTTGACTCATATCCCAGATCATTAATCAAATTCAGTACACATCAGAAAGATGAATCATCTTGTCACATAATTCTCATGTTCTCAAATCCTGAACTCTGAAGGAATAGAACATTCAAAAACTTTAGAGTAGACAGGATTTTTATTTTCTACTATTCTTTATTGATTCTTCTCAAAATAAAATTCTGACTTAAAAGTTAAAGTGCCTGAGAAGCTTCTTTAATTGTACACTTACTTTAAATTCAAGCGTAATAAGTAAAAGGCAATATGACTGTTGTGCATTAAAATCAGAAATTTTTATACTGGGAAGTTCTAAGATTAAAAAAAGAAATTTGGCTTATTTCTTATGATTTGTGCATTGATTTAATAAAAGTTTCACTTTGATTCACATTAATGGATTCCTTTGGTTGCAGATGATGCGATATAATCAATTCAACTTTATGAACTCCCCACATGTAAGTTTCTCTTTATGTTATTTCTGATGATTTCTTGTTTATCTAGATAACTTCATAGAGACACCAATCCACGTTTTAATTATAACGTAATCATTGCAAGAGTTTCAAGGGGGAAAAAATATTCCCCCATCCTCTCACATCAAATTTCTTCTTATTCATTTCTATTGTTCTTTCATGTAAATCAAAATAATTATTAATTAGAAACATTATTTATATCCAAGAAAAATGTTCTGCTGAAAATATCTCAGAAGATTTCACAAATAATGACAGTAAAAATATAGTAAGTAGCAAGTATTGGTGGGGGTAAGTTTTATTTGGATTATCTTGAAAGACAATGTTGTAATTATGAAGCAAGTTTTATGTTATGTAAATAAATACAGATTATTCCTGTCACTGCATGCTAATTATCCAAACAAAGTAATAATAAATCAAGTATCAGGTGGTTCTTTGGCACAATTTTTCTGACAAAATTGTATGTTAGCACAATAGCACTACACATCACCTTTGATTTCTGTGGAATGATGATGAGGGCCATTTTTAGGGGAAAATCAAGGACTGCATCAATTTTTTTGTAACTATTCAAGTAATTCTCTTTTAAAGCCCTTTGCCTAAAATAATCATCCACTGTAAATTTTCTCTTCCTCAGCTTTTGATTGGCCCAACTTTTTCATATTCTCATTATTACTTTTAGTGACTTTGCCCATGATTTGAAATTTTTAGTAACTTAGTTGTCATGAAATCCTGTATCTTAATGCGAGATTTGCAATTTTGAATTTCATCAATCCACAAAGCATGGGTACATCATCTGACAGATACAAAGAGACTAATTAATGAAGACTGGGGATAGAGAGAGGCGTTAAACCAGGGAGGAAATATTTGAATGAGAACTGATGTTGCAAGACAGGTCATTCATAAATTATCACAGATTTAGAAATTAGTATTTTTATAAATTATCATAAATTCATAAATTAACATTTTCAGATTAAAACTACTTTTGCTTCCCTGCCCAACCTTGTAATTGTGGGGATTCTTGAAATTACAAGGGATTCTTGAAAATGGAATTAAGGAGGATCCACCTGTAACTAAGAAACATAGACAAGATATAAGTGTGTTTATACAGACTGAATTTTTATTTTTTCCTTTTTTTCTTGTTTTTTATTTTTTGCTTTACAGTATTATTTCCTTTATGTTATTTTTGCTTTTTCTCTTCTTCATCCAACCTTATAACAAATTACATGGGTTCTGAATATGACATTAAATCCTCTGTAACCTGACTTGCATACTTCTTACCTGAGTTAGGGTTTCAGAGTTAGAAAATCATCAGTCAAATTCTTAAACTGAGATGTCTCACCTAATTCTGCCTTTTGGGTGGTTTGGTTGTTCGGCTTTCTAGAAGACTGAAGTTCATTCTGTAAGACAATGTGTAAAGAAATTCTAACTAAAGATCTTGAAATTTTCGTTAAGTCATGTTCCATAGGACCTTAAAGCTCTTTGGCGGAGTTTTAGAGGCTGACATGAGGATGGAGAGAACCTGAATCTCAACTCTATTACTATTTCACTGTTATTTGCTACCCTTTCAGATGGCACACCTGGGCCCCTTCTTTGGAAATGGTCTGCAACTCCCTCAGCAATTTCCTCAGTACCAGATGCCCATGTGGCCTCACCCACCACCCAACACACTCAACCCACAGAAACCCTCAGGACCCAAACGTCATAACAAGACTGATCAGACCCAAGAAACCCAGAAACCCGATCAGACTCAGTCAAAAAAGCCACCACAAAAGCGGCCTTTGAAGCAGCCATCACATACTCCAGCTCAGCCCAAAGAGGAAGATCAGCCACCTCAGGTGAGGCTTGCCCAGAAAAACTTCCATATCTGTAAATGGCCTCGGAGAGATTTGGAGGGCCATGCCACCCCCACATACACACTTCAATACAGGTACTATGATGCAATACCATCTTTTATTTTGACATGCATCCAAAACTTCACGGCAAGTTAACTCCAGTCTTGCTTGGTTCAAATTACCCAAACACTGTTGCTTTTTAAAAGCTCCTTTTAAATTACAGAGACAACATAGTATGTATAATAACATGAGCACTAAACTAACAGTCAAGAATCAAAGGTTCAAGTCCTAGCCCTGGTCCTTATTCGTCATATGGTATTGAACAAGTTGCTTCACCTTTCTAGGTTCCAGTTTCCCCATGAGTAAACTAAATGGTTTCCAAGTTTCATCCAGGTCTGTGCTTTGATGCTGTAAAATATTCCTCTGAAATTAACATTGCTTCCAGTACTAGTATGACATAAGGCAAGAAGATGTGCAAATCATTTCTCAAGATCTCATCCAGCGTGAAGGGAGCTTCGAACATACTGGCTTTTAGGCAGGGCATACTGGCTCACACCTGTAATCCCAGCACTTTGGGAGGCTGAGGCAGGTGGATCACCTGAGGTCAGGAGTTCAAGACCAGCCTGACCAACATGGTGAAACCCTATCTCTACTAAAAATACAAAAAATAGCCAGGCATGGTGGTACATGCCTGTAATCCCAGCTACTCAGGAGGCTGACGCAGGAGAATCGCTTGCACCTGGGAGGCAGAAGTTGCAGTGAGCCAAGATCATGCCATTGCACTCCAGCCTGGGTGACAGAGCAAGACTCAGTCTCAAAAAAAAAAGAAAAAAGAAAAAAAAAACAAAACTGGCTTTTAGTCAGTTAACACTTATTATCAGACACTATTACAGATGTAAGGAATACAAAATTGAATGAAAAGACTCTCCTGGATTGAAATGCTGGCTTCAATCATTTACTAGCTATGAGATTTGGGGCAAGTGACCAAACTTCTCTGAACTTCATATTCTTAAGTAAAATGGGAATAGTAATAGTTCACATCCTCTATGATTATGTGAGGATGAAGTGAGTTTAACAATATAAAATGCTCAGCACAGAGCCTGGAACAAGCGTCCAATAATACTAATTGTTATTATCATTATCATCTTTGCCCCATAAAAAACACAGTTTAATGTAAAGTGAAATGTAGACTCCCAAGTTTCAATTGCATTTAGTTGGTTTGCTTCATTTTTTAAACGTATTCTCAATTCCACATCACTCTGATTCTTTCTCTCTAGGCATTCCCACCATTTGGCAATGGGCTATTCCCTTATCAACAACCACCATGGCAAATTCCACAGGTGAGAATTCTTTTTTCTTTACACTATAAGTGAAAAATAATATTAGTATGCTATAAATTAAATTAATATAAACTCATACACTCTAATGGAATATCATATACCAATCAGTAGAGGGTATATATGAAATAAAACCATCATATCAGTAATTATGCAGAAAAAGAATAGAGAATTTTTTGAATTTTATACTCAAATTGGTGACATAAATACAATCTAAATCACCAAACAGATAATAGTAACTTAGCTAATAAATTAGTTTAGAAGGTTGTGCTACTTCATTACTATTTCCCCACATCCTTGAGAAATTAAAAAAAACAAAAAAAAAAAAAAACACATTATCTTCATTTAATGTAATGGGGAAATCGAGAAACAGGGCAAAACAGAATTTGAAAACCATAAGCTAAGCTATGATTAGACTAAGACAGTTTCATCCTGTCTTACTGTTTCTAGTCACAGATACATCATTCTAAAGAATCTTGGGGCGGGGCACGGTGGCTCATCCCTGTAATCCCAGTACTTTAAGAGGCCGCGACAGTGGATCACTTGAGGGCCGGAGTTCAAAACTACCCTGGCCAACATGGTGAAACCCCGTGTCTACTAAAAATACAAAAATTTGCCAGGCTTGGTGGTGCACGCCTGTAATCCCAGCTACTCAGGAGGTTGAGGCAGGAAAGTCATTTGAACCCAGGAGGCAGAGCTTGCAGTGAGCAGAGACTGAGCCACTGCACTCCAGCCTGGGCAACAGAGCAAGACTCTGTCTCAAAAAAAAGAATCCTTGGCCAGGCACAGTCGCTCATGCCTATAATCCCAGCACTTTGGGAAACCAAGGCAGGCAGATCACCTGAGGTCAGGAGTTTGAGACCAGCCTGACCAACATGGTGAAACTCCATCTGTACTAAAAATACAAAAATTAGCTGGGTGTGGTGGCAGTCACCTGTAATCCCATATATTCAGGAGGCTGAGGCATGAGACTTGCTTGAACCCAAGAGTCGGAGGTTGCAGTAAGAGATCATGCCATTGCACTCTAGCCTGGGTGACAGAGCGAGACTCCGTCTCAAAAAAAAAGAAAAAAGAATCTTGCAAAATATTATTTACAAGAAGCCTCAAAGAATCTTAAACATTTACAATCATTAAAAGATAATATTGAAATTGCATCATAGGCTTTAAAAATGTGAATGGTAAACTTTTTGAGCTAAAGAAATATTAATGGTCAGTTGCTGTTAAACAAAACAACAGGAAATATTTGTTGACTGTTTATTCAGCCATGACAAAGGTTTTCCTTGTCTACAACTCTATAACCAAGAATGTTTTTTATCAATGAGGAAGAATTCATCTTAAGGAGTAAAAGTGCCTTCTTTTTTCCTTCTTAAAAGAGTGACTTCCTCTTATTGGCTATACTGAACTAAGGAAATTAAGGCAGTACAAAGTAAAGATTTTAAAAGCAGATAAACATGATTCTCATGCTGAAGTAACTATTACTCTCATCTACATAAAACTTGAAAGAGAGAAACTTAGCCTCCAAGTTTGATTAGAAGAATTAACTTTAGTCAAATAAAAAATCATGGTAATAATCCCCTAAACATGAAGCCACATTATAAAAATAACATCTTTACTTAATCTCTATTATTAGATGTTCTAATATAGATGCTTGGATTCTAACAGCACTCAAATTTCTTTCTCTCACACTCTCTGTCTGTATGTGTGTGCATGGTGTGTGTTTGTGGGGGGTTGTGGGGGATGTGTTTTTAAGTGTCAGAGGTGATAAGGAGGATTGCCAGGAGATGCAGCCACGCAGAGCATATTAAGTAGGATAATCTAGGATCCAGCTGAAGCCTTTGTATTTTCACTGTTAGATCACAATTTTTAGCAGCTGGACTGTGAGACCTAATCACTCAGAAGTTAAAAGCTCAGGGTACTAAGTGAGCTCAATCACCGACTTGAGCTATTTTTAGATACCTTGCATCTTATAAACAAATGGCAGCATAGAAAATGCTTTCTCCTGTGTTCTGTGTTTTTCACTTCTCAGAGGGTACCTCCACCAGGTTATGGACGCCCACCAATCAGCAATGAAGAAGGTGGGGTAAGTACAAGTAAAGCTACATTCTCCTCTAGAAATGACAATCCATTTGTCCCTGCTTGTTTATCCACATCTAATAAGAAAGTTAGAATCCAACACATGAACCTGTAGTTCAAGCTTCTGTGATTCTTAGAAAATAAAAGAGTGAAACAAATCAAGCCAGTGGTCTAAAGGTTGATGCTGGACTCCAGACAGTGATAAACAGAGAAAGAAGTAAGAGTTTCTTAATGTTATCCTCAAGAGGCTGGGCGGTGGCTCAAGCCTGTAACCCAGCACTTTGGGAGGCCGAGGCGGGTGGATCACGAGGTCAGCAGATCGAGACCATACTGGTCAACATGGTGAAACCCCGTCTCTACTAAAAATACAAAAAATTAGCTGGGCATGGTGGCACGTGCCTGTAATCCCAGTTACTCAGGAGGCTGAGGCAGTAGAATTGCCTGAACCCAGGAGGCGGAGGTTGCGGTGAGCCGAGACCGCGCCATTGCACTCCAGGCTGGGCAACAAGAGCGAAACTCCGTCTCAAAAAAAAAAAAAAAAAGAAAAGAATGTTATCCTCAAGAGGAAATTAAGTGATTATCTAACTTCCTGATTATATTAATACAAATAAATTGAAGCCAAGAGAAGATCCATTACTACTCAATTTCACTTAGTAAGTTTCTGGATAAACTGGACCCAGAACCGAAGTCTTCTGTTACTCTGCTCAAAGGCCTTTTTACTATACCACACTAGAAGAACCAAATGTATATCACAGAGTGACTAATATTCCAGCACTGTGTCAACTAAAAAGTCATTTTAGTGATTGCGGCATAGCACCCCACCCACCTAGAGCTAACTTTTTTTTCCCTAAGTATGTGATATATCCTCAGTGAACTGTGGTAACCTAATAGCTTAACTGAGGAGTGAGGGACAGATTGGTTTGTTGTTGTTGTTGTTGTTGTTGTTGTTGTTGAGACAGGTGGGAGATCACTTAAGCCTGGGGGGTGGAGGATGCAGTGAGCCATAGCGCCACTGCACTCCAGCCTGGTGACAGAGCAAGACTGTCTCAAACAAAAGAGAGGTTGGCATTACTTGTTCTAAAAGGTTCCTTTCAACTTTAAGATTATGTACATACACGTTTTGTAAGTAAGTCTTTTCATCTCCCACAATCTTTTGTTAGCATAGCAGCCAGAGTAACCCTGTGAAACAATAGTCTAATCTTGTCACTCCTCTGCTCACTCCCTGCAACAACTGCTAATTTCTTTCTTTCCTTCCTTCCTTCCTTCCTTTCTTCTTCCTTCTTTCTTCAGAAGGCTGAAGTGAAAGGATCACTTTAGCTTGGGAAGTCAAGGCTGCAATAAGCCCTGATCTTGCCACTGCATTTCAGCCTGGACAACAAAGAGAAACCCCATTTCAAAAAATAAAATAAAATGTCTGTATTCTACCTCCTGAGGGCACTACCTGATTTCCTGCATGATCTTGGAGATATTTTTTCACCTGTCTCATCATCTTCATCCGCAAATGGGGATTAAAATATTTTTTCTTTATATTGCATTTGTTTTAAAAGAAAAATCAAATGATCTAAATGCCACACAAATGTCTAACAAACACAGTGACGGACAGGGTTCATGATGATTAAATCATTCATTAAATGAAAATTTATTAAGACCGTCCCACTGTGCTAGGTACTGGAAAACAAGGATGAGAAGCATAATGTTTTCATTTAAAACCTTCACATGGGAGAATTAAATCTAAGAATCCCAGGAAAATAGGTAACTAAATTCAGTGGGATGATTGTTACGACAGAAACCTGTACTGCTGTGGACTCCTAGGAATAGAACCTAATTCTGCCCGTGGAAGTCAAGACACAGAAGGTAGAAGTCAAACTGAGTTCTGAAGCATGAGTCAAGTTTGCCAGGAGGAATAAATGTACATACAGGTAGAACAACTTTCAATATGAATAAGCCATGTGCAAAGGCACTGAAACATAAAAAGAATAGAGAACCCAGAGAATTCAGAGTAGTTGTGATTTGCAACTTATAAAGTGCAAGGGGGAGGAAATGAGGCTGAATGTAATAGTTATGACCCAGATTATTATAAAACATTATATTATTATCATATAATATATAACACTTATTAGGCACTTGCTAAGTACCAGGCACTGAGCTCTACTTATTTTGTCCCATTTAGCCCTCATGACAACCTATGAGGTAGATGTTATTTTGTCATCTCCATATTACAAATGAGTAAGCCAAGGTTAGCCCAGAGTCACAGTATTAATGCTGGTGGAATGGGGATTTTAATGCACATCTGTCTAGAGGCCCTACTATTTAGCAGCATGTTGTATTGCTTTGTACATTATGCTAAGGAATTCAGAGTTTATTTTGTAATGGAGAACTTTAAATACAAATTTAAAGAGGAAAGGGACAGAACTTCCATATACCCACTCTCAGCCTCTACTAATTACTCTGATAGCAGTGCAGAAGCAAGATTAAAGGAAATTAAGACTGCATACAGAGTAGACAGTAAGAAAACTATTGCAAACAGTTCAGGGGGTACTGTGGAGTAAGGAAGTAGGGGCAAGGATGAAAGCTGAGATTTTATAGAGCCTGGTTCTTAATAGTCTGGAGAAATAAGAGAGAGCAGAAACTTGGGAAACTGTATAGATAGTGGTGAATGCTGCTTAAATACAGAACACTGGAGGAGGTTTGGTGGGAGTTGAGCCCAGTTCTGTTGGAGGTACTCATGAAAGCTTTAGTAGAGATGTTCTGCTGCCTCAACCTTGGGCAAGAATGTTGTGGGTCAGAATTATGCCTTTGTGAGTCATTAGCATATATGCCTATTGAAAGCATGGGCATGCAATAGAACTCTTAAGAGGTATGTAAACAGAGAACAGAAAAATTAGAAGGATGGAGAATAAAATCATTGAAAAAAAAAAAAAAAGCCTCAGATGTATAAGAACTAAAAAGAAAAAGCTGAGCAGTGGTCAGAAAAAAATACTCGAAGAGAGAAACAGAAAGAGTATGGTCATGGAAACCAAGGAGGAATCAAATTTCAAGAAAGTAAAGCTTATGATGTTAAAAGAAACATGTGGCTGATAAGATTTCCCTGTTATACTAAAAAATTCTAAGCAACACCATGGTGGGAAACAAAGGGTAATTATTTATTTCTATCTTCTTTCCCACAGAATCCTTACTTTGGATATTTTGGATATCATGGCTTTGGGGGTCGCCCTCCTTATTATTCAGAAGAAATGTTTGAACAAGATTTTGAAAAACCCAAAGAAGAAGATCCTCCTAAAGCAGAAAGTCCAGGCACCGAACCCACAGCTAATTCAACAACAAATTCTACCCAACCGAACCCTAGAGGGAATCAGGGTGGAAATGATACTAGCCCCACAGGGAACAGTACTCCACGGCCAAACACTGGGAACAACCCTCCAGATCAAAATGGGATCAGCCCAGTCCCTGCAGTGAACGCTTCAGGCCAGGGAGGGCCAGGAAGTCAAATCCCATGGAGACCAAGTCAGCCAAGTATTCGTGTAAATCATCCAAATCCTAATATAAGAAATTTTCCTTCAGGAAGACAGTGGTATCCCACTGGTACTGTCATGGGGCACAGACAAAATGGACCTTTTTACAGAAATCAACAAGTTCAAAGCGGTCTTCGGTGGAACTCATTTGCTTGGGAAGGTAAACAAGTAGCTCGTCCAAGAAATCCACTTTATCACATAGCTTACCCTTCTACTTCAAGAGGCAATTATCCCAATTATGCAGGAAATCCAGCAAATCTCAGAAGAAAGCCTCAGAGGCCAAATAAACACCCTGTGAGAACTAATGGTACCCCACTGGGTCCCAAACATGACCCTGTTGTTCAAAATGAAAAAATTCAGAATCCAAGGGAAAAGCCACTAAGTCCAAAAGAACCAATAATTGTTCCTACAAAGACTCCAACCAGTCCCTGGAGAAACTCTCAACAGTATGAAGTTAATATTAAATCAAATTATAAACTGCCTCACTCTGAAGGTTACACACCAGTCCCAAATTTTAATTCTGTTGATCAACATGAAAACTCCTATTACCCAAGAGGAGATTCCAGAAAAGTCCCAAATTCTGATGGACAAACCCAAAGCCAGAATTTGCCCAAAGGGATTGTTTTAGGGCCAAGAAGAATCCCATATGAATCAGAAACTAATCAGTCAAAATTAAAGCACAGCTCATATCAGCCTGTATACCCTGAGGAAAAGCCTGTATACCCTGAGGAAAAGCCTGTATACCCTGAGGAAAAGCCTGTATACCCTGAGGAAATTCCTTCTTCTGCAAAAGAAGATTTTCCTGCTGGAAGAAATACTTGGAACCACCAAGAAATCTCTCCACCTTTTAAGGAAGATCCTGGGAGACAAGAAGAACATTTACCTCATTCTTCCCATGGTTCTAGAGGAAGTGTTTTCCTACCCTGAATATAACCCCTATTATTCCAGGGAAAACTCACCATATCGTAGAAGCAATACATGGGATGAGAGAGAGGATTCTCCAAATACTATGGGGCAAAAAGAAAGTCCACTGTACCCCATAAATACCCCAGACCAGAAAGAGACAGTCCCTTATAATGAAGAGGACCCAATTGATCCAAATGGAGATGAGTATTTTCCTGGACAAAATAGATGGGGTGAAGAGTTAAGCTTCAAAGGAAGCCCAACAGTTAGGCACTATGAAGATGAACAATATACCTCAAATCAGCCAAAGGAATATCTTCCCTATTCTTTAGATAATCCATCAAAACCAAAGGAGGATTTTTATTATAGTGAATTCTACCCATGGAGCCTGGATGAAAATATTCCATCATATAATACAGCTCCTACTATGTCACCACCTATAGAAAGCAGGGGTTACTATCTTAATAATGCCATTGGACCAGAAGAAAGCACTCTGTTTCCTTCATGGAACTCCTGGGACCGCAGGATACAAGCCCAAGGGCAGAAAGAAAGAAGGCCGTATTTTAACAGAAATACCTGGGATCAGGCAACACATTTACAAAAAACCCCAGCTAGGCCACCAGACCAAACAGGTAACCAGCCCTATTCCAGCAACACCCCAGCTGGGCTTCGGAAAAATCCAATACGGCATGAAGGTGAGAATTTGAACTATGGCATGCAAATAACTAGGATAAATTCTCCAGAGAGAGAACATTCATCTTTCCCTGACTTTATCCCACGAAGTTACCCATCAGGTCAAAAAGAAGCACATTTATTTCACCTAAGCCAGAGAGGCTCTTGCTGTGCTGGGATCTCCGCAGGGCCCAAGGACAATCCACTAGCTCTACAAGACTATACTCCATCGTATGGTCTTGCACCTGGGGAGAACCAAGACACCAGTCCTCTGTATACAGAAGGTAGTCATACCAAGCACACAAGACATGTCGTCTCCCCAACAAACATCCTACCAGTCCAAAGAAACAGCTCAGAGAAGAGGGAAAGCCAAAGCCCGAGTCCTTTCAGAGATGATGTATCCACTCTGAGGAGGAACACACCATGTTCTATAAAGAATCAACTGGGCCAAAAGGGAATTATGCCCTTTCCTGAAGCTGGTTCCCTTCAATCAAAGAATACGCCTTGTCTCAAAAATGATCTTGGAGGAGATGGGAACAACATTCTGGAACAAATTTTTGAAGACAACCAGCTCAGTGAAAGAACTATTGACCTTACTCCTGAGCAGCTTGTTATTGGTACACCTGATGAAGGCTCCGATCCAGAAGGCATCCAAAGTCAAATCCAAGGAAATGAGAGTGAGAGGCAGCAGCAAAGACCATCTAACATCCTGCATTTGCCATGCTTTAGCTCCAAATTAGCAAAGCATCACTCTTCCGGCATTGGATCTCCATCTAGCAATGGAAGGCAAAGCCCATTTGATGGGGATTCAATTATGCCTACTGAAAATCCTAACACATTGGTTGAGTTAGCTACTGGGGAACAATTTAAGAGTATAAATGTAGACCCACTTGATGCAGGGGAACACACTCCATTTGAATTCCTTCAAAGAGGGACCAGTGCACAGGACCAGATACAAGACTGCTTACTACTTCAGGCCTAGGGGTTATCTCAACCAAACATTTTCAGGGGAAGGGAAATAACTGACATTTTATACCAATGGTTACCAAACTTTTTTCCCCAAGACTCAATTAAGTATCTATCTTGGTGATCCTGAAGTTTTTTTTCCCCTCTCAGCAATATGAGTAGTCACCCAGGTGGAGCTGAGATTAGGCCCCTGGAGGTCACCGGATCTAGCACTTTCACAAATTAGTGCAGACTATCCCTGCCTAGAAACTTGGAAGCCACTTGTCTGAGTTAGTTTCTTTTTGCTTGCTGACTTCTCCTTTTGCTCTTAAAGTTCCATACTTGCAAAACTGGTTTTGCAAGACTGAAAGGCAGATTAACTTTCCATTTTACATATGGAGACCCACACATCAGTATAGTCCTGATGCACTGTACACGATTACCTTGTGTTGATCTTGACAGGTTTTTTTCCTACTCAATATTCTCTTCAAGCATTGTTTTCTTCCACTGCCAGTGCCAACTCTCTTTACCTTTATCATTTCCTTTGCTTAGCTTTCTTCCTTCTTTTCTCTCTCCCTCAACCATTCTGTATTTAGCTATTCCTCATCTTTTTCTATGTATCACTTATTACATATTAAACTAGCAATTTTAACCATTAGTAGTCTTTCTGTTTGTTTGTTTTGAGACGGGGTCTCGCTCTGGGGTCTCGCTCTGTCGCCAGGCTTGAGTGCAGTGGTGCGATCTCAGCTCACTGCAACCTCCATTTCCCAGGTTCAAGCGATTCTCCTGCCTCAGCCTCCTGAGTAGCTGAGACTACAGGCTCATGCCACTACACTCAGCTAATTTGTTGTATTTTTAGTAGAGACAGGGTTTCACCATGTTGGCCAGGATGGTCTCAATCTCTTGACCTCGTGATCTACCCGCCTCGGACTCCCAAAGTGCTGGGATTACAGGCGTGAGCCACCGCACCCGTCTACTAGTCCTTTCTTTATGTCTACCTCCTCCATAATGTCTTCCTCTCTTCCCACCTATCTGTTTTGTCCTCCAGTGTACCACTTGTCAACTAATCCCTCTCCTCTCTGACTCCTTTCTTCCCTTCAATTTATCTTTTTCCCTGCTACACCATTTTCATCTTAAGATTGTATGTCACTCTCTTCCTTTTTTATCAACTCTTTAAATCCTACCCTAATTTTTTCTTGACCCAGCTTAACCATCATTATAGAATATATTTTGGAAATGGTAGACACTGATAGCTACTTTGCTTTTAGTTATTTCAGGGTCTCTACCAAGCAGACACAGTTCAGTTAGAGAGACGTATTTAAGGAGAAGAGAAGGCAGCATACCCAGAACTAGCAGCATAGGAAAAAGGCTTAGAAAGATGGAGAATGAGGAACTGAAGAAACTGCTGCTCTGAGACCGCACATCCAGGAAAAAAGATTCGGACTTGTCACACACCGCCAATTCATAATCCGCAGGATCTGTTGGAGACATTTGGGAAGCACTGTCTTAAACAAATAAAAACTCAATGTTTAGTTGTTGTTGTTGTTTTTTCACTAGTTCAGCATAAGCTATTCTACCAGTATGATAGAATGTATGCTACTACTAACATTCTTCATGTCCATGCAGAATAATTCACAGATACACTTTCTTGGTATCTTGAATAAATTGTGTAAATTATTTTGTAAAGTAGATATTTCTATATGCCTCGCTTATTATACATCTGGAATTATTAATTAATAGCATATTATTAATAGCATATTGGCCTATTATCTGTATATCCCTTGCCTAGCGCAAGAAAAGTTCTCAGAATTGCCTAAAAACATACCTTGTAACTTTAAGGGACTTCTTAGGATACATTTTCAGGGGCAGATTTCATAAGATTTCAGAAATTTGGAGAAACACAATGTTGAAAACTTCCTGAGAAAAGGAATCTTCCCCTTGAATCTTCTAAGGTACCTAGCACAGTGTCCTGAACATAGAAGACACCCAATAAATATATATCGATTGATTTTTTAAATGACTTTCAGCACTCCCACGAAAACACCATAGTCTGCTTTTCCTGAAAGGTGACCATCTGGGATGCTGAATGAGCCACCACTCCGTAGTTTTATATATTCAGCAACATCTGCCTCATAGGATTTCAGCATAAGACAGGATCTTAGAGGTAGATTATCCAGGCCATCCCTAGTGCTTAGGTTCCGCTCTCCCCGGCCAGTTTTATATTTTAATCACACATTGAAAAATGCGTTAACTTATTCTGTATGAAACTGTCTTGTAAGACTTATCCTTTCAAAATAAAAACACGTTATTGTATCGCTATTTTTCCAACTGATCTTTTTTTTCCAAAAAATCTCAATATGAGTACTTTCATTATAAGATATTCACTTCATATTTCACCAAAATGCATGGGTTCACCTAATTGTTTTGGCAGATATGCTGGCATATCTGAATTTATGAGATGCTGCTCTATAAATCACCATCTGAGATCTCTGTAATGTAAAATGTAAAAAGTATAGTGTGACACTTTCAAGCTGTCTTGAGTGTAGGTAAATATTTTTTTCTAAAAAAGTATAGTATGACCCAAAAATCACATATTTTGAATTTAAAAACATACAGTAAAAAGAAGGGAAAATGTCCCTCCAGAAAGTGACTCTTTTTTTTTTTTGAGACGGAATCTTGCCATGTCCCCCTGGCTGGAGCAGTGGCGCGATCTCGGCTCACTGCAACCTCCACCTCCCAAGTTGAAACAATTATCATGCCTGAGCCTCCTGAGTAGCTGAGATTACAGATGTGTGCCACCATGCCTAGATAATTTTTGTATTTTTAATAGAGACAGCGTTTTACCATGTTGGTCAGGCTGGTCTTGAACTCTTAACCTCAAGTGATTCACCAGCCTCGGGCTTCCAGAGTGCTGGGATTATAGGTGTGAGCCACTGTGCCTGACCCAGAAAATGACTCTTGATGTCATCAACACAGGTATGCACTTGCAAGCCTGGATACCAGTAAAGAAATCAAGTATTCTGTATCCTCTTGCTAAGCTATTGATAAAGCTTTTTAAGTCTACTCTAAAGTTAAGATACATGCGGTGGATATAGGAGGCTCTAAAAGTAACTCTCTTGTCTTAGCATCCAAACCCTACCACTACTACTCCACTTCTATGATGAGTTCCTACATCTAGTGGTTATCTGCTGATTCAAAAATAGCTGGATATAGTCTATGATGTCTTTAGTTGATAAGGTAAATAAAGAAGAAGGAAAAAAATGTGAGGATTATAAACACAAGAGATAATCCAGCAAGGCTGACACATATGTGCTTTATATGCACAGTATACAATAAACTTCTCTAAAGGATGATTGGGCATTAATCCAGGGGCCTGGGAAATCTTGCATTTCCTCACCTGATACAAGAAGCAAAGTAGGATGACAAAATCTAGGGTCCAGCTAGACCTTCAGAAACAGCCTAGTAGCCAGTAGCATGGAGAGTCTTCCTCTGGCTTTTTGGAGCATTAAACATGTAGATAACATGTTTCACTTTGGTCACTCACATCAACATCTTAACTTTATACACCTTTAAAGAAAACTCAAAAGAAATGACCTTTGAGTTATTTATATTATTAACATTGCTCAGTATCTCTGACCACTTGTTCTCTCTTCCCTTATTTACCCCATTCTCCCTCAATCATGACCTTAAGAAGACAAAAAAAGATTCATATTGCCCTCAGGAAACCAAACTTCATTTCTAATAACTAAAAAAGAAACCAGAAATGTTGGATTTAAAAAATCAACAACTCTCTCCCACCAATTGCCCAATTAAAAGTCAGAAGAAAACTTCACTTGATGGAAAATAGATATTCACCATTTCACAGTAAAATATAGCATTAGGTTTTGTCCACATGCACTTCCATGTGGCTCCACCTCACCCCACTCCAATAACATCAGTCACTGAAACCCTTCTTCTTGCTTTGAATTTATAGTCAATTAGATTTAGAAATAGAATTCAACTGGTAACAGGCAAAACTCCATGCTGGCAGAGGAAAAATTTTCAAATGAAGAAGCAAAGAGAAAGCTGTAATTTGACAAAGATATCATCGTGAAATAGATGAAGCTATTTTCAGGATCCTTTCACATCCCAGTAAGGTCCTGTGCTCTCATGATGCCCCCATTTCATGGCCTGAGCACCCAGCAACCTCCGTTTCTGTGCCTCATCAGGGCTTGACCAGTAATTATCTCTGAGCTTATTCAAATAATCTTACTCATTTCTACCCTATATAAAGCTTTACTCTTATTGCTAATGAATATAATCTTATATGGCTGATGCTGAATGTACTTACTTGGTTTACTTTCCTTCTTCTTTTTTTTTTTTTTTGGTGGGAGGACAGAGTCTCACTCTGTCACCAGGCTGGAATGCAGTGGTGCACTCTTCCCTCACTGCAACCTCTGCCTCCCAAGTTCAAGTGATTCTCCTGCCTCAGCCCCACAAGTAGCTGGGACTACAGGTTCACACCACCACGCCCAGCTATTTTTTGTATTTTTAGTAGAGATGGGGTTTCACTATGTTGGCCAGGATGGTCTCAATCTCTCGACCTCATGATTCACCTGCCTCGGCCTCCCAAAGTGCTGGGATTACAGGCATGAGCCCCTGCGCCCAGATGGCTTTACTCTTATGGCTAATTAATATAATCTTTACCTGGCTGGTGCTGAGTATGCTTACTTGGGAAAATGACTAACTTGTCAGGAACTGTGCAGAGGGAAAACATTCCTCACCAATGTTACTTATTTATGCCTGACTTTTTAAAATGTCACCCATTTGCAACCAACAGAATGGGAAAAAAGTTTTGCAATCTACCCATCTGACAAAGGGCTGATATCCAGAATCTACAAAGAACTAAAACAGACTTACAAGAAAAAAACAAGCCCATTCAAAAGTGGGCAAAGGACATCAAAAGACACTTTACAAAAGAAGACATACATGAGGCCAACAAACATATGAAACAATGCTCACCATCACTGGGCTTTAGAGAAAAGCAAATCAAAACTA